AGCAAGACACAACCCCATAAAAATCAAACCCTAACTCAACACACTCCAAACAACATCAAAATAACCGTAGATTTACAAAAAAGTATGTATAACTCTAAGCCAATCCCTACCACAAGATTCGGAGAATGAAGATGAGAAAAATCTCCAAAATCAACAGTGTCGAAACCCAATCTCCACCGCACAAAATGTAACTCTTAATGAGCTCTCCAACTTTGATGAAGGAACTTGGGTCAAAACTTCAATGGATTTGGAGAAATCAAGGATTGAATGAAGTTTTGTGAGAGTAAATGAAAAGAAAAGCGAGAGAAATGTGTTTTAGAGAGAGAGAGAGAGACGAGGGGAGAAAGAAATACACTCAACCCAAGGAGAAGAAAAGAGAAAAATGATCGGACTCTTAGGTTTCCCACACATGCATGCCTTTTGTCACACGTGCGAAGCATGCCCTCCCACACGTGCGGTTATTTCAAACTTCGACCGCCAAAAACGCCCCCCACCGCATGTGCAGCTCTGATCCCTATACGTGAAATTATGCTCCAACACCAAATTTTGCAAGTTCAAGAAGGTGCTACCAGCCCCGACTTCAATTGCATCACCAAAATAAGAAACTCTACTCCGGAAACAAAAATGGTGACGCAAATTCAAGAAAGACTTCAAGAGTGATGAACTTAAACGGCCAACGAGGCCTTAAATTAGTTTCCCAACACCCCACACAAGAAAAATAAACATGATTAGAAGAGAATAAGATGGGTTAGATACCCAGACATCCTAACCTCCCCACCATAGGAAATTTCGTCCACAAAATTTAACTACTCCTCTCATCGATGATTTCAAAGAGACAACAACAAACCCACAACATAAGGAAATTCTGAGCAATGATGACAACGTCAAAAACGAATCAATGACAATGGCAATGACTCGATCATGAAAGACAGTAACAAGTCAACATCGACCCAACAACTAAACTATAACTCCGGAGATCAAAATCTCAACATTATTCCACAATAACCATCACATTTCCAATAGGACCATAGCCACTATATTAACAACGACCGAAACAATAATCATAAGCATGAAATTCAATAACAGTTACAATGGTTTAACACAAACCTCATGTGCAAAAACACAACAATCCTAATAATAAATAATTAGCAATTGCAATGCTCAATCCTCAAATCAATGTTAGAGATCAATACAATCTCAACAAACTAAGCATCCTTAAACGAATCCAGACATTGGGACTAACACCCCGCCGACTAATTTTGAACGTTCTTTACCCATCTCGAGTTCTAAAGAACACATCCTCCCCAAATCGCGAAGAAGTTCATACACTTAGAAAGGAATAACACTCCAACATCAACACAATCTTGATACTCCTACGAAACTATTGAGGTGACTCGGTGGCATAAGAGACAAGATAATCTCGAATATAACTAAAGTCATCATTCAAGAATATAGTTGAAATCAAGGCTTAACCCTCACATAAGAAAAGGGAGTACCCCAAAACACAGCCCAAGGACAACGTTCCGGCACAACAATCTCCAATACAAATCAAACTGTTCTCAAAACAAAACATAACGAAATATGAATAGTAAACCAAGCTAAGTCACTACACAAACCAACTATGCAAGATACAACAATTAACAACGCAGCTTTGTTACAACGAAAATTTCATCATTTCTTTAAAAATCTTAGGTTTGTATATATAATTTTTTTCCCTAAAAATGTGCTCAAACCTACACGGCCCACAACAAGATACATTTTCGATTTCCAATTTTAATGTAGAGGTTTCATAAACATCTTCCCTCATTACAATTTAAATTAACTCTAAAATGTTCTCAATTTAACAATGCCAACTGAGGCCAAACCCCGAATAACCTCCAACACATAATTCAAAATCTCCTTTTTACTTCTGGTGCAATTACAATACCCAAACTTTCATTTTGACACAACCAAATTTTTAACTTTTTTTTTTTCCTTGAAATACTTCAATTGATGACTCCAAGTTGTCACTCGACCAACAGCTCAATCATTTATCACAAAAAAAAAAAAAATACAAAATGCCTGCATTAAGTCCTGTGTTAGTCCTATTACATGAGGTTGCAACTGTTCCTTACATTTCATCACCTAAAAAGGGATAACAACTATAAGAATAGGCAGAGTGAGAAATATTATACTAAGAGTTTGAGGGTATAAAATCACTATGAATAATAATTTAGGCCAAACAAATAATAGTTTGGTGCGAGTAAATCATTTGAATAACAGAAACAAAATGCAGAATTATAGCAAAATAATCACAACCACGGTACAAAATATAACAGAATAGAACAGAGAGTCAATGAATCCATGACAAATAGAGGGTACTAATTAGGGGCCAATGATTATTTAAATCCCTCAAGGTATGGGATCGTCAGAGAGTCACTACAGTGACAATTCAGAGAGCCAATGGTTATTTAAGTCTCACAGAACATGAGACCTCCGTGGTGATACTTATAAAATAATTACTCAAAAACATATTTAATAAACAATTATATTTATGAGTTTTCACTCTTTTTTCTTCTTTTTTTTTTGTAAATAAATAATGTTAAAAAATAAATAACATAGTTTAAATGTTAATATAATTTATAAAATATAATTAACATAAAATAATTCATAAAATAACAAAATATAATTCACTCTTAATCTTTACTTTTTTCTTTTTTTTTTTCTAAAGCTCCCCTCCTCTATTTTGTTTACTCTTTTTCTTATTCGTTGTTGTTTTCTTCACTTCAGTTGCCACTTTATATATTTATAGGTCTAGCTTGTCTCCCAGTGGAGATTAAGATTGGACCATCCAGTCTAGTTGGTGGGCTTATTTTTAGGCTTTTTTTAATAATTTGAATCATGAAATATGTAGAACTCGTCGAGTATTATATTTTTATAAAAAAATTACATTAATTGAATATCAATAATTATTTGACTAGACTAGATTTCTGTCAACCGTTTATTTTTTTACTATTTATTTTTTTTTTATATAAAATTGATCTGATCAAATAACTATCAATATTCGATTAATGTGACTTTTTACAAAATTATAGCACTTGATGAGTTCTACACATTAAACGATTTAAATTATTAAAATAAGACTCAAATATAAGTTTACAAACTAAACTAAATTAAACGATCCAATCTTAATATCTAACCGGAGACCAGCTGCATGGATATTTACACAAGTGTTTGACTAATGAGGGTGATGACACCTTGATGGGCTCTTTTATAACCTTAGCCTTACCCAAGGCTCCAAAGCTTATCCAAACACGTGCCTAATGCCTAATTTTTTTTTGACCCTCATAAAAAGAACAACATGATACATTTTACTAATTTAGGAGTATTAATGGATCACTAATGAGGTGAAAATTAAAAAAAAAAAAAAAAAAAATTTAAGGCCAAAAAATCACATCAATGAGTGAGGCCCACCCCTTAGAACTCCTCTAGAACTCATAGTTTAGAACTCCCAAATATTTTTCTAAATTTATAATGTTTTAAAAGGCTACTACAAGCTGAACTGCTCGGTAAATTTTAAAAATGATATGAAAATTAATAAAAATGATATGGAAATTCATTGCTCAATGTTTTAAAAGAACGTGAAAAGTAAATTTTATATTAAAAATAAAAGCGAATTACACTAACAATTTTTATAATTTAAGGTTTATATTATTTTGATATTTAATCTTTTAATTATGATATATTTGATTTTAAATTTTGAATCTCAATTTAAATAAAAATAATTGAAGATATTGTTACTCCATTTTAAATACAAAGTTATCAATTTGATAACATATAAACTAATTTGATAAAAATAATTGTTAGAAAATTATTTTTAAATTTTTAAAAATTATTTCTATCCACCAATGATAAAATTATATAAAAATGATAAATCATTTCCAGTTTTATTTATTTTTATTTTTTTAATCTTTTTGAAATTAATAAACGGTGTTCGAAGGTTGTTTAAGGGGTAGGTCAGCATCCAAACTTGGGTTGTAACTCCTGTATATGTTTTTCCCAAATCAGCCTAGTGTGGGTTAGAAAAATTTTATGATCGTTGTGTTTTAGGTCGTTTTTTGTTTTCTTTTTCTTTCATGAATCTCCACTTGTTGCTTGTTGCTTGTTGCTTGCCTTCAAAATGGGATTTTGACTTTGTGAAATGGCTAATGTATATGTTAAATATGAAGTAATGGCGGATCTGGAGTTATTTTTGGGAGGGATTTGTTCATACATTTGCTTTTTTTGCAATCCACCTTCGAAATCTTTGTTTATACAGTCCATAATAATAATAATAAAAATTTTACAAAATATATGGCATCCATTTTTGCTTGTTCTACATGTTTGTTCATACCCTATTTTGTACATGTTTGTGTGTTCTATAGGCCATGTTTGGTTTGTGTTTCCCAAAAATTTTTGAGAAAAATTCTCTACAAATAAGTTTTTAAAAGTAATCAAATCAAACAAATTTTCCCAATTTTTTTTCCCAAAACTTGTTTAGTTTACAAGTTTTCCAAACAAATCTCTCTCTTATACACATCAAATCAATCACTTTTTCCAAAACTCTCTCTCAAAATAATTTTTCAAAACATCTTTTGAAAAAAACCAAACCAAACGACTTTTCGTATTTTTCATCTCTAAAACTCATCTCTCAAACTCAAACTCATCTCCCAAACCAAACCAAACAATAATTTTTTTGTTTATTGTTTTCATTTTTATTTTTATCATCTCCACTTGTTGGTTGCCATGTCTTTTGTGTGGAAAATGATTGTTTGACATTGTCAAATGGGTAATATTAATATAAATGTTTCCTGTGAAGTAATGGCGGACCTTGGTTATTTTTTGCTAGGATTTCATAGTTTTTTTTGGGGGTTATTTATTTATTTATTTATTTTCTGTTCATACCCTGTTTTATACAATTTTGTTCATACCCTATTTGATGGCGCATGTGTTCATACCCTTCCTTTGTCCCATTATAACAGAACTTCTTAACACAACAAAAGATGACTATAACAAAAGTGTTACACCCATTGATCTGTGATTGTTGTTCTTCTCATGTCCCGAAAAAAGGTCATGAAAGACATCATGGCCTCGTTTATGTCATCAGCCACGTCAACATAACCAACCCCTATTTGTGCTTGTGGCTACGGGTACTGTATTATCAAGATTTCAGGTTCTGCGAAAAAAACTCAAGTCATGGGTACTACCAATGCCCTCGTGGAGTGGTGAGTACAAACACCTTCAATGTTTAATTTGCTTTTAAAACTGTCACTAATACAATTTTTAACTTAAGCCATGTGTCATGCGTCAATCCTACCCTTATCCTATTAAAAATCGTCACCATTTTGTTTTGTGGGCAATACACTTCTATGTTATGCTTATAAACGTCTATTTATCATATGCTTCGCCCATGTGTGTTGTACACCTAGTGTTGGTGTTTATTGTTGATAAAAAAAAAAAAAAAGTGTTTGTTGTTGATAATTCTCCTCTATACCAGATTTGACACATGTGTCACTTTTATGCTCAAATGTTCATGTCGTGTTTGTTGAATTTGTTGTTCTACTTCTATTGTATGTATAAATATTTTTACCTTAACCTGTTGCACGTGACCATTATAGTCACATGGCATCAAACCGATCTTCCTCTCATACCCCTTTCGGAAAAGGGAAAGGGCAACAATGTTATCATAAAGCTATTTGGGATGGAGAGTCTACACGGATCTTCCTACAACTTGTACTTAAAGAAATAGAGGCAGGTAACAGGCCACACATGGCAATCAAGCAGAATGGCTACCGGTCTTTATCCAAGACTTTTGAGGTGGCAATTGGGAGGCTGAATGAAAGTCTCTTTTTGAAATTGCAACTGTTGCATTCTTTAGGGAGGCCGGGGAAACAATACCATGGTCCATTGGATTAATTGAAATACATAGATCTCTAATGTTAGATTTTAATGGTCTACATTGAATTATAGATAATTGATTGACCCGTTATGGTCCCATTGGATTGACTCTAGTGGTCCTATTGGTTTCCGCATATTGTTGTATTGTTATATTATTGCTCTACTAGATGTACTACATATAAAGATTTGAACGATTATTGTTTTCACAAGTGTTGATATGATTGGATATATGATTGCTCATCGAATTGTTTGATTATTGAAATGAAATATATGTTTTGTAACATGTTGGATTTCATTCATTAACTCTTTATACTGATGTTACTCATTGAGCTCTAGCTCACCCCCTGCTTATATATATATGTAAGTGAGCAAGTGGAACGCCAATTTTCAGGCAGCCTCGAAGTCTACCCTTGTGAAGCTATTTTTGAAATGCCTCCGTGATGGGGCGTGCTTGGACTCGAGTGGAGTCAAGCTTTTTACCCTTTTACTTCGTGTTTATTTATTTATTTTTTTGTGGAAGCTATTATGGATGGATGTTATGCAGGGGCGGAGGCACTCAAGGCCCAGGGGGGTCACGTGCCCCTCCTGGGATTTTTTTTTTTTAACATAAAGAAAATATTCTAAATAAAAAAATTTATAAAAATATTATTTAAAGTGAAATGTCAATGATATTTTTAAAATTATGAGAACAATAATGGTTATTTTGATTGAAAGTAAAGAGGCTATGATAAGTTATATTATTATTTATAAAAATTTCAATATAATGGTGATGTCTATAATTATTGATATGCAAATATAATTAATCTCAATAAAGATATATGAAATTTATTGGATTGTTACGTACATTTGACATGTAGAGTTTGTCCTCCATATGTTTTTTTCATTCATAACTAAAATGAGCACTATATAATTATAATCAAGTAACACATCTTCAATTATAAAAAAAAATAAAAAATTACAATAGGTCATAATTAATATCAAAATGAGTCATAACTAACTATTACTTGATATATAGTAATAGCCAAAATAACAACCACAAGAAATTATAACTAAATTATATCTAACACTATAATGCGTCATAACTAAAGTCTACTAAAATACATATGATAGACACTTTTTTTATGGTGTGTTTTATAGAATTTCTCTATTAATATATATTATTTCTATCTCAACTTATCTTCTTTTTTAATTTTTCAATCCACCTATAAATAGTTACTCCCCAATATTTATATAAAATTTAATCTCAAATCCTATAATTTAAAATTCACATTTTTCAAATGGACTCTTAATATTTAAGTTTAGTAATATCTCATTGTTGTTTATTATAAAAATAAAAAAAAAAAAATTTGCTTGGTTAGAGTTTTCCAAAAATACTTTTCAGAAAATTCTATTTTCTTGTTTTTCGGGTTTTTTTTTTGTCCTCACACACCTGCTCAAAATGGAGTAGCAGAGAGGAAACATCGACATCTCATAGAGACTACTATTGCTCTTATGCATCACTCTGCCTTGCCTCTTGCTTATTGGTTTGATGCCCTTGCCACATCTGTTTATCTCATTAATAGACTTCCTACAGCTAAGATCAATTTTCTTACTCCTTTTGAAATGTTGTACCATCATGCTCCTGATTACACATTGCTCAGAACTTTTGGTTGCAGATGTTATCCTTGGCTTAAACCTTATGTTTCCAATAAACTTCAACCTAGGTCTGTGCCTTGTGTGTTTCTTGGTTACATTCCATCTACCAAGGGCTATAGATGTCTTGATCCTACTACTGGACAAGTTCATGTTTCCAGACATGTTGTTTTTGATGAAGATGTCTTTCCTTTTGCTTCTTCTCCATCAGTTAAGCCTGCCTCTCCATCTTTGCCCCAGCTGAACTCATTTTTCTGGTCTGCTCCATCTGCAGTTTTTCCTATTTCAGCTTAGTCACATTCCCACATTTCAGCACAGTCACCAATACCAAATCCTACTTCAACTCAATCCCCACAGTCACCAATTTCACCACAGTCTCAGTTCTCACCACCTTCACAAAGTCCAATTGTTTTTGGTCAATTTGATTCTGTTCCAGCCACTGCTGCTCCTCTTGGCAGTCTGCCTTCTGTTTCTGCTCCAGCTGCTGATTTGTCTCAGTCTGCTGCTGCTGGTTTGCCTAAGCCTGTTGCTGCTCTGTCTCAGTCTGCTGGTTTGCTTCCTTCTTCTTCTATCTCTAAGCCTCAAATTCCCATCTCTTCCTTATCTGTTCTTTTACCTTCTATTCCTTCCTCTCATTCTATCCACTCCAATTCTCCTCTTAACATTCATCCCATGATCACTAGGTCTAAATCTCTGCACCAGTGTTTTCTCACCTCTTCTGAGTCTACTGAGCCTCAATCCTATCAGGAGGCGTCTCAATCCAGTGCATGGACTACTGCCATGAAGGAGGAATACACTGCCTTGATCAAACAGGGTACTTGGACTTTGGTCCATCTTCCTCTCAACAAAAAGGCTATTGGGTGTAAATGGGTTTTTCGCCTTAAGAAAAATTCTGATGGGACTATTGCTCGGCATAAAGCCCGGTTGGTTGCAAAAGGCTTTCTTCAAACTGAGGGTATTGATTACTTTGACACTTTTAGTCCTGTTGCCAAGCAACCTACTATCCGCATTCTCCTCTGTTTGGCTCTTCATTTTCAATGGTCTATTAAACAGCTGGACATTTCGAATGCTTTTCTTCATGGTATCTTAGAGGAGGAAGTGTATATGCATCAACCTATTGGTTTTGTTGATCCAAACAAACCTTCCCTAGTTTGCAAACTCAATAAAGCCTTGTATGGCCTCAAGCAAGCACCTAGGGCCTGGTTCTCCACTTTTTCCTCTTTTCTTCTTACTCAAGGGTTTGAAGCTAGTCATTGTGATTCCTCTCTGTTTGTTAAAAAGACTTCTCACTCTATCACTGTCCTTTTAATCTATGTTGATGACATTTTACTTACAGGCAGTGATTCTTCCTATATTTCCACACTCATTACTCAGATGCATTCTACCTTCTCTATGAAGGAATTGGGGCTGATCAATTATTTTTTGGGCATCTCTGTTACTACTTCTTCCTCAGGATATTTTTTGTCTCAAAGAAAGTATGCTACTGAAATTTTGGTTAAAGCTGGTATGACAAACTGTAAAGCTTCTCCTTCCCCTTTGCCTCTCAAAACTTGTACTGATTCTGTTGATGATTTACCCTTTTCTCAGCCTTCTCTCTATCGCAGTCTTGTTGGTGCCTTACAATATCTTACTATTACGCGTCCTGACCTAGCTTTTGCTGTTAATCATGCATGTCAATTTCTTCAATCTCCTCTTACCAGTCATTTTGCTTTGGTAAAACGAATTCTCAGATATCTGAAAGGCACTCTTCATCACGGTCTTCATTTTGCTCCTGGTCCTCTTACCTTACATGCTTTTTCCGACTCCGATTGGGCAGGCTGTTCCCTTGACCGTCGCTCAACCACTGGTTATTGTGTGTTTTTAGGTCCTAATTTGATTTCTTGGTCCGCTAAGAAGCAACCTACCGTGTCTAGATCTTCCACTGAGGCTGAGTATAGAGCTCTTGCTCAAACTGCTGCTGAATTAAGCTTGTGGACCGTTGAGTGCTGTTTCTTGAGGACTCTATTTGCATTGGCAAGATACTGCCATCCTTGATTTCATCTGATTATGACAGCTGTTCCACAGTATTACCAGCTCGAGGCACACCATCAAATTTCCGAGCTGCATAGAATACACAACAAAGATTCATCAGTGAAATAAAGTTGCATGCTTGCAATGGGAATAGTAGGAGGTCGAAATTTATGTAATTTGCTTTTTTTTCTTTCTTTATTATTATTTTTTTTTTCTTTTGAACTGAAAGCTTATGTAATTTGACTAGTAAGTACCTGTTCCTCCAATTCTCGTATTTTATCATCCTTCAGTTTTAAAGTCCTCTTCTCCCTGGAATAATGTTAAAGAGTCTGCAAATGATCAAGCTCAGCCATGATAATTCCTCCTCATCATCAGCACCTGCAACTGCTGTGGTCACACTGCTGTGGTCACCTGCAAACATCTACATCATTGCTTCAGTTAAACAGTTACAGATTAGTTAGATAAATAACAGAGTAGTTAGTTGGTTACACAGAGTAGTTAGTTAGTTACAGAGTAAACTAGAGGTAGTTAGTTTGTTATGCATTGGTTAGCTTAAACTAGAGTTAGCTTATGTAGTTTATAAATATCTTCATTCCTGTAATTCATTCAGATTGAGAAATACAAACTATTTTTTACTTTCTGTGAAATATCTGTTAAATAATACTAATCAGAGGGTGAAAAACATGGGAAACTAGAACAAACAGTAATAAACTAGATTAGATGGTTATACGTTGTTTTGTCAATAAAAAATAGGAGTGATTAGTTTCAGGAATATGCACAAAAGTGGGCTGGCGATGGCCAAGAATACGGCCTTCATAACACCACTTGACAATAGGATTACTCATTACAAATCTGAATGCCTTCGTCACTGTCAAACTTGATGCCACAAACTTTATTATATGGAAGAATCAAGTTCATAATATT